AATAGTTCACATGCGCGGACACTTAATACACAAAATCGCACCACTTTTACATATCAAAGTCCACTTCAAACCATTATTTAAACAATAGTACAGGAGCAGCAAACCGACGCCGGTCAAGTTCCCGCCAAAACTCCCTCATAGGAGATAAGTATTTGCTATAGTTGCCATGCTTGGTAAGCGAGTTAGCAACCAAAGATTTTCATTATTTTGAGTTATTATCGGGACGATGCTACTGCCCATCTCCGAACATCATCTCTATCTGTCGTCTCTAACGACCCCCACGAAATGATTTGGTGATTCTCACGTCGTCTATATAATAGAATCCAGTAATAGAAATGGTTCATTATGAATAATAATAATTATTATTATTATTTATTTCTACAGACTCTATACGTTAAATTATTGAAAAATTTTCAAACTTTGCTCCAAGGAGATGTGTACTCAAAATGCAATTTATCCACGCTACACTACGGTAAAATGGAAGATATTGAGCTGAACCAAGGTTCCAGTCTTTGTCAGAGATCTTCGTGCAGTAAGATCCAACAGTCAAAGTCAAAGACTGATTGTGACAGTGTCAATCACGGGTGAACGGAGATTATGAATGTGATTGAGAGGCTATATGGGTAGTAGTACACATCGTCATCATAATAGACCATAGCACTATACTTCTATACTATAATATAATAGTATCTACCAACGGTCTACACGTAAGGTACGGGATATTTTCTTAGTAGACCTTTTCGGTAGTAAGATGAACATGGTTAAGATAAAGAATACTATGAAAATATTCAATCATCCATGCAAACACTTTATATTTAGTTTCGCAAACAGATGATTAAACATAATATTATAAATAATTAATAATGTTAAATAAATACAGGATTAAATAAAATGTTTTTTATTGACTTAACTAAGAAGTATACACAGTTTTTGTTCTGGGCTTATTGGGTTTGTGTGTCTGTTGCACGGTTTGTTAATCAAATCATCTCTTATGTGGTCTTCATTGCTTAGTAAACGGCGACGTACTAAAATCTCAAATGCACCTTCTGTACCACGAGATTTGAATAAATCGTCTTCCGTCATACGACTATTTTCCTCTTCTAATGATAGTTCATCCTCCACGTAAATCATTAAAGCTAAATCAAGGTCGTCCATTTTCTTTGCTGGATACGTTTCGTTTGACATTTGTTTAAAAAGACGGTGTGTTAATACGGCCGTGGAACTTTCCACATGCCGTCACCGTAAAGACGGCCGTCTTTTTGCGTCCGCAATATTACGGCCGCTATATGACGGCACCGCTATCCTAGGAAACCAAAGCTTAAGGGTCGATCGGTAGGCAAAAACGTTGTTGTCCTTGTTGTATATCACTATTTATATATTTAAACTTAAGTTTAAAATTTGGCTACTCTTTGAAAAATAACCCTGTATTATGGTTGTAGTACGAATGGCTCTCGACCGGGAAGGGACCACGCTCTCACAGAATGCGAGCGTAAAATAGCTGCTGTGTTTCGTACAGTGAGTGCAGAGAACCGGATACCCTTTTTACTGGAAACAAGGCATTCTGTCGTAGTCCTCAGTGCATTTTGATTCTTAATCGAAGATAAATGTAGATGTCTATGGGCCACAGCATCCACTTACCATCAGGTGGACTGTGTGCTTGTTGGTCAAATCCATTATATAAAATAAAGTATTTTACTTCTAATACTATACAAGAATTGTACAAATACATTTATAATATTAATAAATGAGATTTTTCTTTGTGTTTGTTGTATTCACAGTTATGGATGTTTTTAATAAGATAAAATATGATAAGATATTGCATGTTTACGTGCGGTGGCAGAGTACGAGAATCCATCACTCTTTCTTAAAAAAGCTGAGAATGGGGAGAATTCTTAAATCGTGATTCCTACTGTCATTGTCAAATCTGTCAACTGTGTCATTATTGCAAATAGCATTAGTAGATTGTTTAATCATATCATTTATTCAATTATATTACATTTATTTACTTATAGTTATTTACACTACTGGTTGTATGAGGAAGCTCAAGGTAGCTCAGCGAGCTTTGGAAAGGGCTATGCTCGGGGTTTCTCTACGTGATAAACTTAGAAATGAGTATATTCGCAGTAGAACCAGTGATCGACATAGCGCAACGGATTGGTAAGCTGAAGTGGCAATTGGTGGGCCATATAGCTCGAAGAACCGACAACCGATGCGGAAAAAAGGTTCTCGATTGGCAGCCTCGTTTCGGTAGGCGCAGTGTAGGGCGACCCCCAACTAGATGGAGTGATAACCTGGTAAGACGACCTGGAAGTTGATGGTTGAAGGTAGCTCAGGACCGTGCTTTGTGGCATTCTTTGAGGAAGGTCTATGTTCATCAGTGGACTTGTGAATGGCTGTAATGGTGATTATATTTATTGAAGATGAGATGTAAGAAGTTAAAATATGTTGCTTAATTAAATGGCAACTCGATGAATAAATAATTTAAAATTAAAAATTACACAGGACCGTGCTTTGTGGCATTCTTTGAGGAAGGTCTATGTTCATCAGTGGACTTGTGAATGGCTGTAATGGTGATTATATTTATTGAAGATGAGATGTAAGAAGTTAAAATATGTTGCTTAATTAAATGGCAACTCGATGAATAAATAATTTAAAATTAAAAATTACAACCGACTTCAATATAAAATATTAAGAATAACTCAAAAACTATTGGCCAGACCTTGATCAAATTTATATGGGACTACATGAGAAACACCAGCTTTCAAATAAAAATAGATTCATCGAAATCGGTTCACACAGTATAAAGTTGAGGTAACACACATAACAAAAACATGCAGTCGAATTGAGTACCGTCTCTTTTTTAAGTCGATAGAAAAAAAACATAATATGTATTTAGAGTTTTATTTTATAAAATTATTTCTGCTACAAATAAACAGAAATGGATTTAACGACAAGCGGAAATCACAAATCAATTGCTACGCAACTTAGATTAATCGTTTTAAACACTGTAACATTTTAATATTGCACTAAATGGTTGTTTAAATGCGATGGCTATTTAACGAATTGTAAACAGAAAAGTTTCTAACAAAGATAAATTTAAAATTACGTTTGCATTTCCATGAAAGAACACAGGATCTAATGATTATTCTCACAACCATTTTTATTTTAAATTTAGAATTTATATCAGTATCTGAAATTGTTACTACTATGCCATGTTAAAATATTATAAAGTAAATAACATACTTTTTAACTTAGTAGATTCGAACAAGGATTAAATTAAATTCTCATTTTGCAACATAACTTGGTACTTTTACCGATAATTGCAGTGTTAATACTTATAAATTAAGAAATACTAAGATTTAAAGTAAAACGTTAATGTGTGTAAATTTTCTTTTAGTAACCAGAAACAAATGGCAACAAACAAAGTTTAATTTAATAATTTTTATGATTTAAAATGTTGGGAAATATCCAATCAGATAAGGTAAAAAAGGGGTTTCGTTATCAGGATATTAACTAGAAACAATAAAACTCATGATTTATATTATAATTTCCGAACGCTCAGCTATTAATAAATATCTACAAATGGACAGACTTCATATAATCAACAGATAATGTATCTTATAAACTAATTATGTATACATCTACTCAACTTTATAATTGCAAAACTATTGCACTTTACAAGATGCATTTACAACAACTTATTTACAATTGTTAATTTTACATTAAAAATAAAAACAGAATTCAATTCATAATCTTTGGCGTTTTAAGTAACGTAAAGTTAAAGGTAGACATTTGAAATAAAATAATTTTACAAAATAATCAACGGTTTTTATCGCATATTTGCAGAAAATGTCGCATTTAATTAATTTTAAATTCAGAACTTCTCTTTGAAATTGACTTTTTGCTTGTTTGAAGACCTGTGTCCTTGCTTATTATACAAAAAATAATATTACAATTATATTTCACAATATTTAAATTTGTTTTAATGTCAAAATGAAATAAAAAAGTTATATTTTGAAGCTATAAATATTACATTATTTTAATTTAATAAAACAGTTTATTACATTGAAACCTTGAAGTGGCTTTCTTCATTTTGTATGTATAGTTACAGAATAATAATTTATAGTTATAAGTAAAATTAGTTGACGATATCGATCTTCGCCTTGTTAAAAGTGATTTAGCTAGATCATGCGCAAAATAACGTAAATAAAATCAGAATTTACTGAATAATATAATATTTGATTGATTTTTATTGACGATGAAAATGTGGTACAGTCTCTATATCATTTAACTTTTAAATTATAGTAATTAAATGCAAGACATTTGCAAGTAGGTAGTTGGTGTCTCTAAATAAATGTAAAAAATAAATAAATGTCACTTTCCATTTTTGTTAACAACTTATTAAAAAAAAAAAACAATTATTTTGCATTTACACTTCGCTCTCATTTTATTAAAACGTATAAATATTGTTCAGGATCAGGTCAGAGGTCAGGGATAACGTTGTTTTGAGAAAACTGTTCAGTATCTATAATTATTACTGTTTATAATTAAAGTTATTAGAAATTAGATTAAGAATCGGTTTTCAGAATACAATGTTGAGTCAAAAATTTATATCTGAAAAGAAAATTCACTGCCATATTTAAAATCGCGGTTACCAATAATTGTACCTAATATGACAAAAATCGTATAATTTTAGGACGGGAACAAATTTTCGTTAAAAAAATTGTCAAAATTTTTCTATTCGATTAACGCTTATTCATTTTATATTTTACAATTATAATTATAATATACTTTCGTTGCACAAGGCCTAAATAATAATCATTTTCAAAAAAAAATTAATAAAAAATTTTCATAACTTCTATTTAACAAAGTATGTCAAACTTACTCATAACATTATTTTTCTATGACCTAAAATAACTAGGAGCATGAGGTATTGACATTATTTCTTCAATTTGTGCCGGCAAAGTATTATACATTAATTTTACAATAAATATTTCTTTTTAGTATGGTCGCCAAACTGTGTTACTGTCTGGTTGCGGGTTGCCACGTTGCCCAAGGCTGTTCACTCTACCATCTTCTCCTCTAGACGCTGCCGCAGCACAAGAGTTACCACCGCCTAATAACAAATCACCGTGCCCATGGTTTCCATGTTGCCTATGATTATTAGTGGTCGAAGATATCTGATCCATCATAGTCTGTAATTCGTTGTGATGGTTTTGTGTTGAATGATGTATAGAATTCGAATGCAATGAATGAAAATTATGAGTTTGGTTCGCCGCCGTATACAATTGACTGTACAGCAAACTAGCTGGAAGTACGGGATACAGTGAATTGTTGCAGTTGCTTCCGGCGTACGAGGCGTTCTGTGATCCCATTAGTGAGGGAAAGTTAGAACTATTCGAGTGATTGTGACCGATATTGTTAGACGTATTGGAAGTTAATAAGTCGTCTTGTACTGGTGACTCAGGCTGCGAACTATTGTCGCTTAACGATCGTGGCCCCGTCGATAAGCCGTAGTCAGCGTTGTTGTTATATCGTGGCAAAAGACTTCCGTGGTGTGAAGGTGAGGATCCCACGAGTCCAGACAGCTGCTGATCCAAGTCCACGCCAGTCGTATCAGGTAATACTGTACAAAATATCAAATAATTAATCTCAAGGCTTCTAAAAACTGACATCTGAGGTTTACTAAAATATAATTTAAGAGAGAGGGCTGAACGGGACAATTAACAAACAATTCAGAATACACATAATAATTAAAGATTAAATAAGAAAAATAAAACATATTAATTAAATTATTTCTTCATAAGTTGTGAATTTCATTACGTGAAAGTAATTTTAATATTTCTATTTAGGTTTATATAATTTTTATCTATATTTTAAGCTTTCTGGATTTCCTTGAAACATAATCACTAAAATTGTGTAATTTATAATACCTAAGTATCTTTCCAGGTATCTGAATGAATAGCCATGTAGTTATACGTCGGCCTTCAGTCAATTAGTAAATTATAGGTACGTTACTTTTGACAAATTAAAGCGCTAGACAATGTATTATCAATAGGTTCTAACAATTTCCGAAGAAAAAACTAATTAATTTTTTTAAATTAATTCATAGAACAAACTGTGTAATGTGAAATTAAATATATCAATAGCTGTAGAAGTCATTTTGTGCAGTGTCTGTTAGTTCCGCATTAGTAAAAAGTAGAATTATATTTTAATATCTTGGCAGTTTTTAACTAAGCTGTATCAAAGATGGCTTTCTATCTGCTCAAACGTTAAATATCGCAAGCCTCATTGTTAAAGTCTTGGCATTTATTTGAATGTCGAAAATAAGTAAATAAATAATAATAAATTTTATCTTTAAAAATACTATGAATTCGCTTAATATTTATACAGACTAAAAAAATCAAACTGCTACATTTATATTATAATTTAAAAATTAGTATGGACCGTGGATGTAACGTTTAGATTTTAGTTAAAATTTATGCTCTAACGCGGGTGTGACCTGAAAATATATCGACTTTTAAGACATACTGACAATATATTCTTTGACATTCTACTGCGTGTTTGTATATTTTTAATACGATGCTATATTTTTCGTGTCGTGGAGCGGGCACGCATCGGCAATAAATTCATCGGCCGGATCGGACGTGTCCGAGTCGTAGTAAATTATGATGAGAGCTGGTTTAATGTCCGCTGGTCCAACATTGGCCATATGATTTTGAGGAGGATGTCGCTCGTAAACCATGTAGGTGCGTTTAATTTCACCATTCTGTTGTAATGAATTATGGTCTGTTGGCTTAATTACATTTTATTAGTGATAAAGCACAAAAACAAATAAATAATGCATACTGTAATTGTTTTGGAAATAGCTAAACTGTTGACAAAATACTCCATGTACAATCAAATACCATTGAAATAAAATACTTAAACTGCAACAATGAGTATATAAATATAAATTAGTAATAAATTTCATCATATTCTACCGTTATCAATAATTCCTTTAAAAAGATTTAGGCTACTAAAAGTATAAAGGTGCGCTCTTATTCATAGGTATAATAAATTTATTATTAGTATATAATATGTAGCTGGCTCTACTTAAACTTTGACTTTTGAATTTTTTTAAGAAATTTTCTATATAAACAAATTAATTAAAAAAGTCAATAAACTATAAGTATACTAAAATTGTCCTTTGTAGTCTAAAACCACCATAATATTAAAAAAATAAAGTAACAATCTACATTGGCCTCACAACTGGAGACAGGCTTCTTTGCTTCACGGTGAAAATTACTATTTATTTAATTACCTGTGTTATTAGCAGTAAAGTCTTGCGTTGGCGTCTGGTCAGGTACACTCCCTGGGAAGCCGAGGGCAGGTGGATTGAATTGAGTCGCGCTGGGCGCCGCACAAGACGGCAAGTACGCCGGGTATGCGCCAGCACTCCCGTATCCCCAATGCGAATTACTCGAACTAAGTCCAAATTGACTCATATCTGTGAAAAACCTTTCATTAAAACTACTGGTCCACAAGGAGGAAAAAATAGGATAATATTTGAACATATAAAAAGATACGAGAGTAAACAAGAATTTAAACTTATAATACACTGATCGATATAATTAACGAATTCAATTAATCGAAAACATTTCGAAGCATCAAAACGAACGCTACAATCGCTCTTATAAAGATATCGAGTCCGGTCAACTCGCTACAGAACGCCATCCGCACGTTCCGTCCACTTTATTTTTTCCAGGAGTATTACGGGCTTTTATTTTTCGGTATCACGGTTCCGTTTTTGGCTAGCGATCGGTGGAGTCGGTTTTTATACGATATGCGCACGGCGCGTCGATTTGTGAATGTTTTTTCACGTTTCGAGTTGTTTTGGTGCATCGTGGATTTTAGCGGGCCGGCTGCGTGCTTGTTCTATTGCCGATTGCATTCAGCCTTTTTGTTGGACTGATTGAATCTGAGCTTTAGTGAACGTAGTTTAGCGTATCGCAGTTTGGTGACTCATTCACTTTTGAGCGATCACCGGCATTTATAAGGTTTGAATGTCGAATAGCAATTTGGATTTGGTTCGGCGTGTTATGGCTTTCCGGCTTACCAATTTATATCGTGATAGTTTGGTTAGCGTTATTGAATGATATTGTATAACTAGCTTAGACGTTTGTGCATATGCTAGTTATACATCAAAACAAATAAACGATCGAAAGAAATATTTATATTATTAAATTATTGCTAAAATATTGACAAAATGTATAATTTATATCCACACTAATAGATCTCCTTTAAATAAACAATCAATTAAAGCGAGTGAATAAATGGCTGAAGAATACTTTGCATAAACCTACAGATTATATGTAAAATGTTTAATAGTCCGTTCAATGTTACCAACAAACAATCTAAAATTAGTTTGAATGGATTAGTGTTCATACAAAGCGAAATCTTTCAAATAAGTTTTCTCAGACTTGGAAACCTTTTACATCAAGGCTAAGTGATATCTAATTATTTCAGTATATTGTTAGTTAACAAAAATTCTAAGAACCAATAGTAGTTGGTCAAACTACTTCTCGTAACGGCCGACTTAAATATTGTCTTTTTAATTAAATAAGCATAAGCACCTCTTAAGTTTTACTCCTTGTAATTTGTTCTTTTTTATCGTTTTTTTTTTTGTGGTGTACAATAAAGTATAAATAATAATAATAATAATAAGCAATATCGCACCAAAAATCTACCTCAAACAATTATTTAGACAATAATACAGGAGCAGCAATCCGACGGCAGTCAAGTTCCTTCTGAAACTCCTAGTCTTTAGTGTAATATGAAAGAACCTATATCAATTAGTGGAAACCAAAAAACTGGCAAAAAGTAGGAAAAAAATACTCACTTTGACAAGTAGTGATGGGCGGCATTCGAAAACCACCGAGTGGATCCGGCGGAAAGGGGAAGGGCCGTTGACCGAACGCGAAGTGGAACTGCTGCTGCTGCCCTAGGAGAGATAACACTACATCAGTACGATACAGGCTGCCCTCGGCTATCAGCATTATAGAAGGTGATATACAAAAGTGGACTTTGAGATGATTATAAATAATATTGTATAGTCTTTACGGTAAGAATATTTTTGTAATTGTGCGATGGGTTTTTTTTCTTATAGGATAGGGTGACAAACGAGCACACAGCCCACCTGATGGTAAGTGGTTGCTGTGGTCCGTAGACATCTACATCTATCCTCGTTTGTGAATCAAAATGCAGATGCGTTGTTACCCGTGAGGACTAAGATGGAATGCCTCTTTTCAAGTAAAAAGGGTCTCCGGTTCTCTACAGTCATCATACAAACACATCAGTGTTTAGCTGCTATTTAACGTTGGTATTCTGTGAGAACGTGGTCCTTCCCCGATTACGCCGACCGATTCGTGCTACAACTATACTATTAATATAGCTGCAGCATGGCTCTACCACATCAAAAATAACGCTTTATTTAAAAATATTGTAATATTGTAAATGATAGAAATGAAAATGTCTAATGTGTAGATCAAGATTTCTTTCATTCAGATTGTAAATTGGAACGTAAAGCGTTCAATAAAAAAAAATAACATTGTACATATCTACTTAGAATAATTTATGCTTGGCCATTCTAAGAATGGGTACTTCTAGTTTAAGTGCATTAATCTGTCAAAATTTTATTTTAAACGTTATTATTTATTCCCACAAAAGAATACAAAGGGCGGACTTAGTGCACAGGTTTTTAGTGCTATAAAGTATCGGTGGCGCTGCCCCAATGCTCACGAACTTCACATGTATTCGATTTTTTCATTAAACAATTTCACTGGTCCTGACTACCTAATTGGTCTAGTGGTCGTAAACGCAATTGTTTATCATGAGGTCTCGGGTTCAGATCTCAGGTCAGGCCAAAATCAGTTATGAGATTTTCCTGTCGAGAAATTCTCAGTAGCAACCCGGAGTCAGGATATTGGCGGTGTTACCGTGATGAATTCTTATATTTACGCGAACACATTACAGGATCCCAAGCAGGTGGTAGTAGTTCACAACACATAGCTGACGTGAAGCACCAACGTTCCGGGAAGTCTGCAGTTTGTGATTATATCCTAGACGGCCCCCGGCATTACATTAGATTTGATAAACCACAAATTCTCGCGAAAGAACATCGATTCCTGCCAAGGATGATACGTGAGGCTATTGAAATTAAAAAACATCCTTATTTCAATAGAGAGGGAGGCTGGGTACTACCACCTGCTTGGGATCCTGTAATTCATAAAATTAAAACTAAACCCAAGCATACCACTGCAAGACTTCAAGACACAGTTAGTTCATTCTGCGTAGATCGGACCAAAATTATTAATTAAAAATGCTGAACGTACTCCGGTTTAACACTGACATCGGGACGTCAATCACCTCAGTCCCCCGTGACCACGGTTGTTGGAAAGCAACCGAAACGTCGGGAATTAAAATAAGTTAATTAAACGCGATAAAATCCGTAAAAATGGTGTTACCGTGCCTCGAAAAGCATGTAAAGTCGTTGGTCCTGCGCCTGATCTCTCTGCAATCTTGTCGAATTGCGGTCTCATCGGACTATGACAGTGAGAGAATAGAGAGTGCACCTGGTCTTTCGCATACACTCGGGCACTATAACCCTGTCCTACACTGATGGCTTAGTCTCCGATTAATCTGGCCACCGCGCCGTAACTGAAGAAATTCGGTCTGAAGAACATTATTATTAACAATTTCATTAGTGCCGGTGGGGATCGGACTCTACTAGCGTACTGTGATATTTAAAGCAAACACTTGTCGTTGAGTTACCACAGGTTTATTATTTGTAGGTTACTCAAATACTTATTCTGTGCGAGATTCGAACCTCGCATCGCCGCAACCAGATGCTTTGTTACTGTACTGCCAAGCATTTTATTAATGCAAGGATTGCGCATTTTTTATTGCTTCAACAGCATTCTATAGATTAAATATTAAAATAAGAATGTTATTATTCTCCAATGCGATGTTTATTACAAGGCCACTACCGAAAAGTTGCTCCTGAAAACTGCAATAAAAGACGGTCTTGAGTCACTTCTATGCATCGTCGCCAAGTATGTCTTATCTCATTGCACTGCCTTGGAGTTTGAAATGTTTAATAAATGATGTGCTTAGTAGCATATAAACACATCAACAGAATCGGGACATTTTATATTTATAAATAGGGACATTTTATATTTCATTAAATATCTAAAAATGTAATAAGAATTTTCTGATATAGTAAATGTAATAATGATAGGTTATTTTAAGGTCTTTACTAAAAAAAAAAAACATTTCGTATTTTTTTTTGTTTTAATTAAAATTTTAATTTTTCGAAAATAGAAAATAGCCGTAGAAAATTAGAACGAAACTCATTTCTTCTTATATAACTATTCATTTGAATTAAAATTGAAATAATGTTATAAATCTAATTACTAATAATCAGAGTTGCCACCTCTTACATTAATTATAGATCGACATCGATTGTTCATACTTAAAATTAAATTGTCAATGTCTTGCTGCGGTATGAGGTCCCATGTTCTTTGCAAGTGTTCGAAAAGAAGTTGTTCCGTCGTCAAATTTGGCGGGAAATCTTTCAAAGCTTTTTGTTGTAACATGTCCCAGGCATGCCTGAAAAGATTTAAGTCGGGCGACTATGCAGGTCAGTCTAAAACTTCAATATCGTGGTCTCGGAAAACGGCCGACACCAGCCGCGCCGTATGGGAAGGAGCATTATCGTGCATGAGTTGAAATTCCTGGCCAATTTGGATTCTGTGTGGGACAATAACAGGCTCTACTGTCTCCTCGTGGTATTTTTGGGCAGTCGTGATACCTTGGATCCAAACGAGCTGGGTTCGTCCGCCAAGACGAATGCCCACACCATGATTGTCCCGCCTTAGTAAGAGTGGACATCCTGAGGGTGCCGTAGACGGCTAACCCTCCCTGGAGTTCTCCAAATGCATGTTCTTCGTGAATCCGGATGAAACCCAATCCGGGACGCATCGGTGAACAGCACCAAATACCATTGTTCGTCACTCCATAGTAAACGCTCCCAAGCCCACGAAAGCCGCCAATTACGATTGACACGTTGCAATACTGGAACACGTAGCGGTCTTCGAATATGAAGAACAATTTCAAGCAACCTTCTTCGCACGGTTTGATCGCTTATCAGCAGCTGGTGGTCCTCCTGGAGCCTTTGTAGTAATTGCGTCGCTGTGATATTAGGTTGTCTTCTGGGGGTCATTTGGAGAAATCGATTCTGTCTCTAGTACTGAGATAACGTGACCCAACCTTGATATCACGTTTTGGCTGATGTGTAGGGCCTCAGAAACGACGTGTTGAATAGCACCATTTTCTAACATGCCTACGGCTCGTAACATTTCTTCTCGACTCAAATGACAACGTGACATGACATAAATTAAAATAGAAAAACAATCTAATCCCTTTTCATTAGATAATAATATCAGTAGAACAATTTTAATTTTCCTTGACGTAACGAATTTCTAACAATTTTGCGGCCCAATTTGGTTTTTTCTTATGTTTTTTTTATTTTCATTTTAAAATTTTTAAAAATAAAATAAAAGAGGTTTCAATCTGTGTAAAACTGTTCATAGAAACTAAAAAGATTGTAAACTATAAAGTCGTAAATAATTTAGGATTAAGGTATCCCTAGATTCCGTTGACGTGGATATACAGCTTTTTTTAAATTTCTTGAAAAAAATATTACATTATTTTACTTTCCTTCCGAAGATGCCTTCCCAATGCCTGCTCGTTTCAATAGCAGGAAATCTATTGTCAAATTGAAAGGTAGCAAGCAATCTGAATACCTTACACTGTTTCTCATCTGCGCCCTCCTATTTGTTCCTAGACACTCGATAATTCATTGACACGTGACACCGCTCCCCTAAATTCTAGCACGTGTAGGAATTAGTTCCGAACAGACCGAGTATGAAGTTTCGAGCCCTTTAGGTGTATGGAATTATTGATGTAGTACTGTACGATACCTTTATTGAGTACTTGCTGCAAGTTTAATTAACAACAACGCTGGCAGGGGATTCTCGCCAAAATTTTTAAATCTAGTTGTTTTGTGTTTACTTAGTAGATTACTATTTTTAGCTTGATTACAATAGATTATGTTTTCCTACTCTATGCTTATACTTTTGTATTAAATAAAAGTCATAAGGCAATCCATGGGGGAGGCATATTTTCAGCAGTGGACTTTTGATAGGCCGTAATGGTAACTGTGACACATAATTATACGACCAGCAACTCTGCAGGCTTATTTTTTAGAAGTAATTTCGATTTTGGTTGCACGTATTTGGTGATCTTTTGGCTTAAGGGTACCTACCTACCTATGCCGCAGGTTATTGATTCGTGTTGGCAACGCCAACATTACATTTTTATTCCATAATCTAAACTGTTTCCGTTTCCTTGTAAAATTACTAGAAATTATATCATTTGCAACTTCAACCTGTCTTTGTTTTAAACATCAGCAAGAACAATTACCGCAACCAATGTAATATGCACTGTCTCTGTACAATAAAGTTTAGTGCCACAAGCAGAATTTTATTTAACGCTGCTCCGTCGTTCCCAGTAAGAGCCAAAATCATGCCTCAAATATTGGTTTTCTACAAAAGATTTGGTGTGTTAATTTGATTAGTTTATTGTGTTGTTACTATTATCGTGTCTTTGGTACTGCAACGTTAACTTACGTCCTATTTTATCGCATCGTGCAATGAGAGTTTAGTAGAGAGAGAGAGAGCTTCTAAGGTAAAATTTCTAGGCTTGCAACTGGTGGAGCTATATCATGGCCATAAAGGGGATATGGTATTGTTGTCCAACTGAGGTCTTCTTGGATGTGGATTCTGTTGTTTATTATTGCTTTACAGAAGGATGACGGATCGCTTTGTTGCAATTTCGGCGGCTAACTTTCGCAGATGTCAATGTGACAGTAAAATTACCTTCTTTTTATTGTCTAGC